CCAAAATCAGGTGCCATAGTGTCCAAAAGATCATTTTCACTACCTGTGAAAACATCATTAATGAAAGTGTGACCTCCCTGCTGAAGAAAATAGACACAGGTGGTTTTCAGGATGTTCTTGGTATCCAGGATCCAAATAATTTGGGTGATTGTCTGAAATCCTACAGATTGTTCTTTGGTGTGGATGATAAATCTCTCAAGCAGGTGGCACAGAGCATAGGAAAGTCAGGTGAAGAGTACACAAACATTGTGAAGTCCCAGGATGCACAGACTTACCACCAAGAGAGCTCGACATTGTCTTGGATAGGAAATATTACAGTCTTTTACTTATGTATAGGTCTTAGCTACATCCCATACTATGGTAACTCAGCTGCCAAGTACCTTAACTACATGGAGCAGAGACGCTTGCTTGAATCAGTTGCTAAGGACACCAAGACCATCCTTAGGAAAGTCCTGGAAGACTTCATCAACCTTGATGAAGTACATTAACAGGCTCCTTCTTGGGGAAAGTATGAACATCTGAAGCCCTCTTCTCATTTGTGTGCCCTTACTGTCACTCAACCCTTTCAATCCCATGGATATAAGAGGAATTTCTTTCTTCTAATTGCAGTGTTACATATATTTTGCATGTGTTCCTTGTGATGGTTAATCTTGATTTTCCTCTTGGTTGGATTAAGAGAAGCCTAGAAAATCAGGAAATCACAATTCTGGGTATGTCTGTGAGGGTATTTCCAGAAATAATTGGTGTGAGGGACAGAAAACTGAGTAAGATGCACACTGAATGTGGATGGCAATGTCCAATAGATTAGAGTCCAAATGGAGCAAAAGCCAAAAGTGGAACATATGCAAGCTTCAGTCTCCTTCAACACGTGCACCTTTGCTGCTTTCATCACCTGGGAATGTTAGACTCCAGGTTCTTTGGTTTTTTCAATATGAACTCATACCAAAAACTCTCCAGGGAGTCTCTAGGCAGTGAGCCTTGGACTGGGGCTGCATCTTTGGTCCCTTTTGTTCTGAGTCTTCCAGGTTCTTGGACAGAACATCTACTGGTTTCTCTGTCTATCCAGCATACAGATGGCCATTGAGGGACTATTCAGCCTCTGATCTTACACATAAAACATGATAAGATAATCTAATAAATCCCCCTTTATATTATATATACATATGTATTTTTTTTGTGTGTGTGTGTGTGCACATACACATCCTATTGATTCTGTTCCTCTAGAGAAACCTAATTAATACATTCCCCCTTAACACCTAAAGTTAATATTATTTCTGTTTGAGACCTCTTTGTCTTTCTATTTTCCTTTCTTCTTACCTGTTATTCCCTGGCACAGAGAAAAGAGCTTCCCTTCAGAAATGATTAAGCATGTGTTTTTAGACATTCTCTGAAAAGCATTTCTGGTAGAGCTAGGATTCCAAGGCTAATCTGGCTGCCTATAAAGCCCTGTTCTTCATCATCATCTCCTCAGAAGATGCCCAAACCTTCCATGTATAAAAAGGATATGGGAGGGGCTGGGGTTGTGGCTCAGTGGTAGAGTGCTCACCTAGCATGTGTGAGGCCCTGGGTTCGATCCTGAGCACGACATAAAAATAAATTAATAAAAAATAGGTATAAAAAGGATATGGGAGATGAATTCAAGTATCATTGTAAGTGGGATTCACAAGCCATTGAATGGAAAGGCAACCTGACAATTCTAAGTATGACTGTCCCATCAAAGTTGGATCTAGTTATAGCTCCCTCTCATTCTCATGTCAGACCTGGATTTTTGTTGGTCCTGAGTGCATAACACATCTCCATTCAGACACTCCCTCTGCTCCAGACACAAACTGACTCCTATCACTTTTCCCCAGAGCTTTTCCCTTTCTTTTCTCACTCAGTTCATCTGTTTTACTATTTATCAATAGTGTTAGGTGTTCTCCTAGGATCCTCCTTTCCCCTCATTTCCAGATTTCACTGATGACCAAGTGCTGTCAATTCAATCTCTTTAACATATTTCAGTTCCTTGCCCTAAGTTAGAATTCCTAAGTTAGACACCATTTAAATAAATTACTAATAAAGATTTAGGTTTACTTTATATGTTAGTTATAAGAATAGAAAAGACTAAGAATTTTCAGCCACAGAAGAATTGACATGACAATGAGAAAAATTCTACCTTAAGTTCAAATATCCACCTAATTTTTCTTTTGTGAATATGATTCTGCTCCTGGTAAAAGTTTACAAAGGAAGCACAGGAAGTTTTTTGTTTTTTTGTTTTTTTTTTTTTGTCATTTTTATACTGCTTGGAAAGAAATTTCTCAAGTTATCACACATCATCTCCATCTTCCCTTTCTACTTTCTACTCAATTGTACCCAGAATACCTTCCTGCTTCCAAGCTCACATTTCTCCTTTCTGCCTCTGGTTCTTGCCTGTCCATCCCCAATTCCATCTGTCATCTCTCACCATGCCTGGTTTCATACCATTATTTCCAATAATAGCAAACTGACTATATCATCCAATTACACCTGACTGTTTTAAGCTTCTAAATCCTTGCCTTGAATACTTTCAAACTCATGCTTTGCACCCAGAACAATTCCCAGCCATAAGACAAGCTCTGGAAAACTATTTCTCAGATACTCCCATCCTGCCTGGAATACAGAAGATGGCACATAAACTAAATAGCACCACCTTTACCTCTGTATTAAGTGATTAAATTAAATTAATAACATTCAGAAACATACTTCAGATAATGTGAATGTTTATTAGGGTTGCATTGTAGAGTTACTTTGGTTAATAGTGTGAGGGAAGGCTGAGGGTATAACTAAATGGCAGAGCACTTGCCTAGCAGCAGGATGCCATGGCTTTGATATCCAGAACCAAAAAAAAAAGATAATTAACCAATTAATTTAATATCAAAAGAGAGGGAAATTATATTAGTTAATAAAAACAACAAACTGAAGCATTGTCACTAACATAAATAGCTTAAGAGTTCCTAAGTTAGACACCATCTAAATAAGTTAATAATAATGATCTAGGTTTATTTTATATGTTAGTCATAAGAATAGAATGGACTAAGACTTTTTAGCCAAAGCAGAGTTGAAGCTGATAATCAGAAAAAATCTACTTTAAGTTTAAATATCCACCTTATCTTTCTCTTGTGAATGCAATTCTGCTCCTGGTAAAATGTGGGGACAAGTGCATGGAGTACTTCATATATGGCATATATTGAGGGCATCTGAGTGGCAGGCCACTCCCCTCTGGCTAGGCGCATGAGCAGCAGACCACTTACCCCCATAGGCACAGCCCTGGGTGTAAGGCCATGTATTTCAGTCCTAGCGCTTGCTCCATGGCCCTCTCCTAGATTGGTTGCAGCAAGGACAGTTAGCAGAAATTGCATTGGTGACTGCCTGTAATTTGCTTAGCTACTGCCTGAGTATATATCGTGGTAACTATGCAATAAAATCAAACCTGCTTCCTGCTTGGTCTCTGGAGGTCTTGATTAGCGACTCTGCAGCCACATTCTCCTCTACCTTGTTCTGTGGTACTCCTTGCTGGATGAGAGAAAGCCCATGCAGCTGGTGCCTTGGCAGGGATCTGAGGTAAGCCTATAAGACAGGGTGTGGCCCCTCACAGAGCGTTGAGGAAAGTGCTGCACACTTTCTTAGATACCAGAGGTTTAACCCTGAATAAGAAAGAAGCCCAGGGCTGGGGATGTGGCTCAAGTGGTAGCGCGCTTGCCTGGTATGCGTGGCCCGGGTTCAATCCTATGCACCACATACAAACAAAGATGTGTCTGCCGAAAACTAAAAAATAAATATTAAAATTCTCTCTCTTAAAAAAAAATAAAATAAAAAAGCCCAGAAGTTCTGGGATGTTGTGATTGATACCAGTCCATGGATAAATGCTGCTGGTTTTGATCCTAGGATATGGGACAAGATAATGGCAAGTGTGTGAAAAGCTGAAATGAGACAGGGGTATACTTTACCACTACATTTTTTTTTTTCTATTGTGACAACCATTCAGCAAAGTTTAAGAGGCCCTCCAACAGATCCCTTGTCTGTTGCAACAGATCCCATATAATGATGGCCCTGAGGGAAGAAGAGGATATGAAAAACAGGCTAAGGGGAAAAAAATGTGGTGATGTGAATCTACTTCAAAGCAAGAAACCACAACAGATACAGGAGGGGGAGAGGCAGGAAACTGTACTGCTGGCCTTCATGGTGCAGGAAGATGTGACCACAAATAGTGCAAGTGCACCTTCTACTGACAAGCAAAAATTATATCCTTCCCTGAGTCAATGGTAATTGCCTCCTTATGAGACAACAACAAAGCCAGCAAGGGACTATGACAGCTTAGAAATGGCCAGGCTGCCAGATAGGCCCAAGCCATAGTCTCCCAGAACCCATTCCAGGAGGCCAGAGATCCTTTTGAAGATCTATGTAAGATAAGAGAAAAAGTGGGGTAAGGGAATACAAGCCTTCACAGTCAACACAGACCCCACACCACAGTGCCCTGTCACTTGTTATTCACATGCATTGAGTACCCTGAAAGGGTTAAAGAAGGCAGTAAAAGAGGATTCACCCAGGGGGACATTTGCAGAGCAAATGCTTGAATTACTTAGTCTCAAACTTACTTGCCCTCAAGACTAGAAAGACCTAGCCAGAGCCACTCTTCAGCCTGCAACATTTTTGAAGTTTAAGGCATTCTTCCATGATAAATGTGAACAGCAGGGGGAATCATCACCACAACACAAATGTTAACTCCCAGCTGAATGCTTGCAGAGAGAGGAAATCTACTGTTCCCTTGCAGTACAGGCTACAGGCCCACCAAATTATTTTGATCAGGTGCAACTCTGGGCTCTAAGAGCCTGGAGGAAGTTACCAGCTGGGGGAGGGATAGTTTCTATACAAGTCTTAAGGAAGAAAGACACTGAGGACATGCCACAGTTTATTGACAGAATAAACAAGGTGGTAGAAGGGAAGGTGTCTCATGAAGAAGCTAAATTTAAAAAAAAAAAAAAGCATAAAGCAGGAGTGGCACCAGTACACAATGGCACACTATGTGACTGGATTTTGGCCACCCTGGATACAGGGACACAAGCAGCTTAAGCCTCTCTGCTGGCCTCAATCATGGCAGTTGCATAAAAGCAGAACTAAGGAGGCTTGCAGGCAGCTAGTCAGAGACTGCAAAAAATGGGCACCTTTTCTCCCCATTGACCTTTTACAATCTGCTGGAGGGAATTCCCAGAGTTAAAATCTAATGCTTTATGGCAAATAATTGTATTATTATGCTCCTTTTGGAAATTTAACATATATTCATGTGATTATTGATATCTACTCAGGCTGTGTAATGGCCACAGCCTCCACAGGAAAAACCACAAAAAAGTACATTTCCCAGTTATTAAAATGTTTTGGAATTATGGATGTTTCCATGTCTATTAAAACTGACAATGGGCTAGCCTATACTAGCAAGACATTTCAAGCAATTTTCAATGATTGGCATATATATTACTTAACTGGGATCCCCTAAAACACTTAGACTCAAGGCATCATAGAAAGAACACACAAAAAATTAAAGGCAATGCTACAAAACAAAGGGAGAAAACTATACCAAGTCCCCTCATGATGCCTTGAAAATAATTTTATTACTTTAAATTTTCTTTCAATTTCAAAATTTTCTACAGAAATAGGAGCCCATAAGCATTATGCTCCTCCCATGGGGCCCTCCCATCTACTTTGGTCTCATGGAAGGATCTCATAACAAATGCATGGGATGGTCTGGGGTCCCTCCTACCCATGGGTGGAGGGTTTGCATATGTTAACAGGAGCTTCACCCCATCTGAGTGCCTGCCAGAAAGTCAAGCCCTGGATCCCCAGAACCACCAACCAAGAAGATGAAAGAACTAACTTTGGAGGAAAAACCTCGCAAGCAAAGAACTCAATAACACAAATGGAACTCAGGTAAACTAACCTGGGGTGATATTAAAGATCTTGCTGACCAAGCCATGAGATTGGTCCCTTTGGATGGTGGCAATCTCATCCCTGGGCCTATGATTGTGGTCCTATTGTATGCCGTGCTCACTGCTAACAGTGAAGCCTCCCATGAGTAAATTGAGCTTTGGTCACTAGGCCACATTTAGCAGTTGCTAATTGGGAAGGAGATTTACCTAAGCTCTTCTCTAATAATTCCAACATTATTGATCCTGAGTTATCCATCCAGGAGGTAACTGTATCCTATAATACCAGCATTTCCATACCTAATCTTCCCATTTGTTTCTCCATAGTAGATAATAAAACCCATAATACAGACAGTCCCCTCTGCTTTGCTCTTGCCAATGAAACTATTGTAGATAACTATAATAAGTCATATGTTGGGCTGTCTCTCACTGACCTTAGAGATATAGTTAATGCTACCTATAGCCATAGAATCCCCCATGGTAAATGCAAGAAACCCTTGCATCCAATATGCCCAACAATGCTTTTTGGAAAGCCCCCCCCTCAGATAATGATAGCATCCCATGGAATCAATGTGTCACAGCCATACCTTATCTCCTTGATAAGAGGAATTTCTCTTGGGAAGAACAACATCTGTGCAGCTGGGCAGGCACAGGTCCCTGGAATGTAACTGATGTGCCCAAAAATCATATAGGCTACTGCAGTCCTTGCTACATGGGGCAAGCTCTTACCAACCATTATGCAGGAAATCAGAATGGCATTACGGCTATCATGCCAATATTGCCAGCTGCCAGAACCAATAATTGGGCAGCAGCTGGCCAGATGAATGGGTCTATATTGAGTTCAGACCCTGACCATGGATTTGCCTTTTTCCAAATTATACCCATACCCATTATGCACAAGCTAGTGTAATGCCACCCTTTGCCATGCTAATAATCAATGATAATGATGGCATAAATATCATTCATACAGAGATCCCTTGTACAGTTAATATATCCTGCTGGCTCACAGATTGTCTAACCCCTACTATGAAAGCTAAATATATTTATCCTCAGAGTGCCCCCAGCAATCTGGCTTCCAGTGAACCTGTCAGGATAGTGGAGGAGTCCATGTACATGGAGATGAAGAATCTTCTGAATGAGATCCTATACTGAACTAGGCATGCAATTAGCCTCATCATTGCTGGAATTATTGCCCCGGTATGTATACATTCTGGCCACTGGTGTGGTCAATTGGTCACTCGGCTACCTCAGTCATGGGCAGTAGAGATGTGGATTCAACACACAGACACTGGGAGCTGGTGATAATGCTGGCTGGTGACAACCTCAGTTGATGTCCAGCAGCCTGTTTAATGTAGAAGTGATTACAATTGATATAGAATGCACCTTTCAATCATACATAAGCAACCAGGTTATACAACATCTAGAAACCAATCATCTTTTGATTCATGTAGCTGTACTATGAGGAAGCTCTAAGTATTGTTATGCAGTGGAAGGCAGTCTGGAAGGATCTTTGTCCTTAGGGGAGGGGGCCTTAGGAGTTTTATGCCCTGAAGCACCTGACTCTTGGTCTCCTGGCCTGGTAGCTTGGCAATGCTGACTTCAAGCACTGAGGATGTGGTTTCACTGACAGCTTGTTAGAGCAGAGTGCCCCATCCTGCAAGTGTTCCTGTCAGACCTGTATAAGTGTAGGTTTTCCTACTACTCTGAGCTGCTTATAGCTGCTAGCTGCTAGCTGCAAGCTGAAAGTTATTCCAACACTGGTAGTCGCCATCACTGTCACAGCCACTGCCACTGCTTCGCTCACTCAGAGTATCCAGACTACTCAGACTGTAAACAATTTGTCTACTGCCATGGTGAAAGCCTTTGCAGTTCAAAATGACTTAAATAAACTGTTCTGAGCTGCTACTCAGCAAGGAACCTCTACCAGGAACAACTAGATATTTTGTCTATGTTGAAAGGCTCACTTGTGACCCTGAATTTCATAGTATTTGTGTCACCTAATATACTATATCTAAAAATGTAACCTTACACCTCTCCAATTTTTCTCAGTAGATTAAAGGCACTTGGGATGCTATTATGACTATACATAACCTTACTAAGGCAATTTTCAAAATCAATGAAATGAAGGTGTCTATCTTGACAACCTCTTCCTTCTTCCAGGGATTGACTAAACATTGGAAAAACCTGAGAGCCAAATTAACTAATCCTTATAATGCTATTACCCTGGCCCTACTGTTTATAAAGTGATGTTTTTCTTGTGTGATGAGATGCTTATGTAACCATGTAAAGGCCACCAAACAAAAAACAGCAATGCTGGCTGAAGTTCTTGCAGCACAGTCAGAGTGGGAGTGTGAGGACAAGTGCATGGAGTACTGCCTACATGGCATGTGTAGAGGGCATCTGAGTGGCAGGCCACTCCCCTCAAGCTAGGTGCATGAGCAACAGACCACTTACCCCAGAGGCACAGCCCTGGGTGTGAGGCCATGTGTTGTAGTTTCTGCACTTGCTCCACAACCCACTCCTCAATGGTCACTGAAAGACAATTAGCAGAAATTGCACTGGTGGCTGCCTGTAATCTGCTTAGCTACTGCCTGAGATTTTATTGCATGGTAGCTGTGCAATAAAATCAGACCTGATTTCTGCTTGGTCTCTGGAGGTCTTGATTAGCAACTCCGCATCCACACCCTCCTCTACCTTGTTCCATGGACCTCCTTACTGGACGAGAGATAGCCCATGCAGTAGAAGTCTACAAAGGAAGCACAAGAAGTTTTTGTCATTTTTATGCTGCTTGGAAAGAAATTTCCTAAGTCATCACACAATTCATAGCCTGTAATCTTAATAGGTGTTTAAACAAGTTTATATGAAATAATATCTGTTAAATTAAATTAAATATCTGTTAAATTCCGACAGGAATGAGAAACAAAACCTTAACTACCTCTAGGTCAGCAGTAGGCAGCCATTAAGATGGTTTCTAGCGTGTCACAATGGCCCATACCTGTAAACACAACAACTCACAAGGCTCAGGTAGAAAGATGATAAGTTCAAGGCCAGCCTCAACAATGCAGGTAGACACTGTCTCAAAAACTAAGAGGTCTGGAGATATAGTGCAGTGGTAGAACCACCCTAGTTTCAATACCTAGTACCAAAAAAAAAAGGTAATTTCCAAATTATGTCCTGGTCTCTCTGTGTATGTTTAATCTCTATCACAAAGTGACAAGTATAACATAGGCCAAGGATGGGATATTACTTCTGAGATTAAATTATAAAGGTTCTACCACTATGGAAGATGATTAGAGAAAAGGTAGTTTCTCGAAAAAGGGAGTATATTTCTCAAAAAGTCCATGCAATGGAATGAGGAGGAGTTTGATGGGAGAGGACTGCATTAACATGAAAGGCTTGAAGTCATTCTGTAAGTTGAATCTCATCTTTATTCCCTCCTCAGGTTCTTAAGTTTCTCCTTGATAAATTTCAGAATGAAGAGAACAATCCCAGGAGAAGCAGTCATTCTGTATCCTGAGAATAATTTTCAGAATCAAGAAGAGGGGACAGGGAAAAGTAAGGAAGGGTAATAGTGGACTGTGATCAAAGCATGTTATAGGCGTGTATAAATATGTCACAATGAATCCAATATTCTGCATAATCAAAAATTAATTTTTAAAAAGTCTGCAGCTTATATCATTATATCTTGTAGATACTCTGTTGCTCTCTCTCTCTCTCTCTCTCTCTCTCTCTCTCTCTCTCTCTCTCCAATAGCCATAAAAAAGTCTGAAGTATTCTGCTGAAAAGTCCCTGAAGGGTCAGAGACCAGGTGGAGAACAGGCAGCACCACAAAGGGCAGCCATGCAAGTTAGCACCTTAGGTGTAAACACTCCTGTTGAGAGCCACAGCCAAAGGGGCCCCAGCAAACTTCCAGCTGCCAGATGATTGGCTCCTCTGCGGTGATGCTCATTGGGCTGTTTCCCTGCCCTTTCAGACTATGGAGCTGCTCATTGGGGGACTCTTTTGGCTCCGCCCACATGACCCAGCCAATTGGCCTCAAGAGCAGGAGGAGTGGGGGGGGTTGAGAGGCTTGTGGGAAGCCGGTGGTGGCAGTTGGGCTCTGAGGGAATTCCTGAAGAGCTCGTGTGGTGTGGTGTGTGTGTTCTAAAAATAAAGTTTGTTTCTGCTTGATAAGTGGCTTGTGAATTGTGCCCAGCCAGACTGTGGCAACTCCAGCCCCAGTTAAAGCTTTGGATGATGACACCTGCTCACCACTTGAAATCATCCCCATAAGAGGACCTGACCCAGAGCCACCAAGCTAATCTGACCCTGTATTTCTGAACTTCAGAACCAATAAGGCAATAAATACTTGTTTTAGCCACTATGTTTAGGAGTAGCTTGTTACACAGTAATAGATTAAAAATACAAGTCAAGAAACTCCTGACAGTACTAACAGCTGTGAGTGATCTTCTTACTCCTCTGTGGATACAGAAGAATACAGTATCCCACCCACATCACAGCCCTTCCCTCCTTGACGTCTTCACATCCCACTCCCTGCTCTCTGCACAAGCTCCACCCTCAGACCCAGCCACACTCACAGCCACACTCCCACCTTAGACCTCATAGAGTTATCCAGTTTGTGACTCTATGTTGAAGAGAATAAGACAGAAAAATGAGATTCATCCAAAGCAAAACAACCCTCGGGCATGAAAGGGAGAAGAAATGAGAAAGTAGAGTATATGAGCATTCAGCTGAGCAGAGGGGACTAGAATTCTCTTAGAGCAACCTCAGGGACCTGAGTAGGCATTGATGTTCCTGTCATAGCTATTAGATCCTAGTGGGAATCATGGGCTGTGAGCTTCATGCCATCTCCCAAAAGCAGAAGAGTGTCTGGAAACAAAGAGAGAATCTGATAAATCCCAGTGTCTAGCTTCTTGCATGAAGTGGAGATTTAAAAAAATGTTGAATTAAATTGAGTTTCTTTGAGACAGCTATGTAGAAAATCCCAGTCTAGATCAACTAATAACACCTTGGTGAAATCTCCAAAGTGTGAAAATAAGATTAAGTCCCCTGTGTCTTACACAGGACTGAATAAAACTCCTGATTGACATGGTAAGGCAAAAAGTCTTTCCTGGTTCCCTTGTGCCTCCCCAAGTTGGTCTGACTTCACTAAGAAAAATTCTGATAACCTACAGCCTCCACTGAAGGAAACAGGAATAGGGAAAGGAGACCCTCAGCTCTGCTAGCATTCTGAGAAGTTAGGGGGGGATCCACTTCCATTCTCAGCCCACAGGGAGTTTAGAGGAAAAAATAAATGTGCTAAACCATCTGGGGCCAGATAGAATCACAGCAAATAAATAGAACCCTCATAAACTAGTCTGCATAGACTAGCACAAGCACAGCATTCTAATCTGATGGCTCTTAAAAGAGATGGGAACAGTAACACTTGGTTTGAACCCCTAGCTAGCCAGTCTTCAAATCTAGAATCACACTATAATGCAAAGCCCCAAAGATGGGAATACCTGACAGCCATTTCTAAAAGCTTAGCAGATCACACATAGAACTTTAAATAGTGCTCCCTGCCACCAAAAAGGCTGCCTCAACACCCTCTCAGAGTGAAATGAAACCAAAGTTGTGAGTAACAACAACAAATACACAGCTCTCACACACCTGGGAGTTTAAATACTGCTCCCCATAACTACAAATATCACTTCCAGACTTCACTTAGGGTGGCATAAAACCAAAACTGGGAATAAATAACAACAGTAAATATGTGCCAGTGCTCTCAAAACTGGAAATTTGAATGGTACTTCCCCAAAACCCCAAAGACTACTTCCAGAACCCATCCAGTTGAAATAACACTAAAATGGAAAAAAAAAATAGCAAAAACATGCTAGTGCTTACATATCTGGGAGTTTGGGGAATAAAACCAACACAGGACTGATAGAGTACATCTTGCGGCCCAACCAGATCTGTGGCAATTAAATTGCTCGTCCATTAGCTCAGCCTAATTACACACCAGAGCAGTGGTCTTGTCAGATAGCTAAACAAAGCCAATTGCCACTCCTGAATTCAGAGAAAAGACAGCAGCCCAGACTCCTATAGAAATTAAAAGCAAGTTCTGCTGCCTGGGGGCCATTATTGGTTGAGCCAGCCAGACTTACAAACCCGGTGTAAACAATGAAGGTTTATCACTTCCTAAGAACACTTGTAAGTCAGAAAAGGTGATAAACATGACAAATCCATACACACACCAACATCATGACCCAAGAATTATAAATACTCAGGAAATCATGATACCACACACACACAAAAATGTTCAAACAAAGCTCCAAAAATGGGCCCCAAAGAATGGGAGATTTTTGAAATGTCAAACAAATATTTCAGAGTGATCCTCTTTTAAAACTTCTGTAAACTTTAAGAATATACTAATAAAAAATTAAATGAAATTTGGGAAATAATACATGAACAAAATTAGAAGTTTGACAAGGAAACAGAAATATTTTTTAAAAAGCCTAGAAATCCTAGAGATGAATAATACAATAGTACAATACAATCTTCAACAGCCAGTTTAATCAAGCTCAGGAAAGAATACAAGCTCAAAGACAGAACATCTAAAATAATCCAATCAGAGTAACAGAAAGAAAAAAAAATAAGAAGAATAAAGAGGGAGCACAGAGCTGGGACCTGCTGCAGAGGTGGAGCCACACAGAGTTCTGGCATCGCAGAAACGCAGGGTTACCAATCCTTCAGGGCTGCAGTGAGTCAGACTGTGACCTGCGTCACCACAGGGCACTGGTCTGAGGACCAAATTCTGGACATAGCATAGGAACAGAACAGCCTAGCTCCCTCCACCTCATTGGACACCCCGGCTTGGAAACGGGAGGTCGCCATCTTGGAAAACCTATCTCATCAACTTTTAGCAGGTGTAGCAGACAGTGCAATTGGCTTCTGAACAGGAGTGTGACTCCCAGCACCTCCTCTACTCAGCTGTGATAACTCAAAACCTTTCTTGCCAGCTCTCAGTCGGCATGGCTATCAGAGGGAAAACAACAGAACAGGTTACTGATTTCCAACTCCCCTCTCCACAGCTGTGATGACTTGGTGACTACCCAACACAGAGATAGTGCTCAGTTGATCAGCAGTGCAGGGTGGCCAGGGTACCACCCTCCCAGAGTGAACCCAGAGCTGTGGTCAAGACACCCATCAATTGGGAACTGGTGGGCAGGAGAGGGGAGGGGGATAGAGACCAGGAGCAAACCAAAGAGACCTGGATTGGAGAGGCACCCAGCAGGTGAGGGAGAGCCGCCTCACATGTATTGCTTCCACCACCTTGAGGGCAGAGGCTCAACCTGGAATGCACAATGCCACCTATTGGAAGTGGAAAAAAAACAGAATTCTAAGAGTGCATTTTATTTCTTTTTTTCTTTTTTCTTCTTTCCTTTTTTCTTTTTATCTTTTTCTTCTCTCTTTTCCTCTCTTTTCATTCCTTTCTCTCAATCTCTTCCCCCCTTTTTTTCTTCTGCTTTTCATTTTACTTTTCTTCCTCCTTCTCTTCCCCTCTCAACCTCCCAAGTGTTACTATTCTACTATGTGTAATTTACTAAATGCAAATAGGTGTTTGTTTCTATGATTCTTATGGTCCTAACACGTACTTAACTACCCTAAAATACCTCCTGTCTATTCTCCTGCTAATAACCCCCTTCATTAGAGTTCTCCTCCAAAGTAGGTAAAATTTATTAGCCCCATACCCTCACATCTTTCCCCCTTAACATAAAGTCCTATGCCCAACCCTCACTTTTCTATATGCCTCCAGAAACTTTGACTTTTATAAAGCTAATAATATATTTTAAATTATAATTGAATCCAACATCTCTAGACATAGAGACTAACTATAAATATATTAATAACAAAAACTTGCTCATAGATGATGTATAGTTGATATTGGAAACTGTTTACATTGTCTCCCATCACAAAGGAGAGATCTCAGAACTATACAAATCCATAGGTAAAAAAAACCAATAACACAACAGTCAGGCAGAGCTGGAAAGAAACATGAGCAACATGAAAAAACAAGAAAAGAAAGGACCACAAACAATGAAGAACAATTCAAAATTAGAGGAGATAACAGCTACATCAGAAAGAATGTTAGGTAAAGATTTCAGAATACACATGATTCACATGATCTGGAGTCTCAAGGAAGACTTTAGACAGCAAATGCAGACAATGAAAGATCACTTTGATAATGAATTACATAAACAAATCCAAGAAGCAAAAGATCAACTCTACAAGGAGATAGAGGTTATTAAAAAAAAACAACAGAAATCCTGGAAATGAAGGAAATAATAAACCAAATTAAAAACTCAAATGAGAATATCACCAGCAGAGTAGAACACTTAGAAGACAGAACATCAGACAATGAAGACAAAGTATATCATCTCAAAAAGAATGCAGACAGATCAGAGAGACTGATACGAAATCATGAGCAGAACATCCAAGAAATTTGGGATAGCATAAAGAGAACAAATTTAAGAGTTATAGGAATAGAGGAAGGTATAGAGGTCCAAACCAAAGAAGTGAGTAACGTTTCAATTAAATAATTTTTAAAAACTTTCCAGACACAAAGAAGGAAACAGAAATCCAAACTCTAGAAGCCTACAGGACGCCGAATGTACAAAACCACAGAGATGCCCACCAAGACATATTATAATGAAAATGCCCAACATACAGAACAAGGAGAGAATTTTAAAAGCTACAAGAGAAAGGAGGCAGATTACATTTAGGGGTAAACCAATTAGGTTAATGGCTGATTTTTCATCACAAACGCTGAAAGCTAGAAGATCCTGGAACAACGAATTTCAAATGCTGAAAGATAATGGGTTCCAACCAACAATCTTGTATCCAGCAAAATTAAGCTTCAGATGAAATAAAAATCTTCCATGATAAAAAAAAAA